AAATCTATTACATACACAGTGTAACTGATTGTATGTGTAGTTACACTAATTCTATTATATGTACAGTGTAACTGATTGTATGTGTAGTAACACTAAATCTATTACATGTACAGTGTTAGTTTGCTGTATGTTTAGTTACACTAAATCTATTACATGTACAGTGTAACTGATTGTATGTGTAGTCACACTAAATCTATTACATGTACAGTGTAACTGGTCTTATGTGTAGTTACACTAAATCTATTACATGTACAGTGTAACTGGTCTTATGTGTAGTTACACTAAATCTATTACATGTACAGTGTAACTGATTGTATGTGTAGTTACACTAAATCTATTAATGAACAGTGTAACTAGTTGTATGTGAAGTAACACTAAATCTATTACATGTACAGGGTAACTGGTTGTATGTGTAGTTACACTAAATCTATTAATGTACAGTGTAACTAGTTGTATGTGAAGTAACACTAAATCTATTACATGTACAGTGTAACTGGTTGTATGTGTAGTTACACTAAATCAATGACATGTACAGTGTAACTGATTGTATGTGTAGTTACACTAAATCTATTACATGTACAGTGTAACTGATTGTATGTGAAGTCACACTAAATCTATTACATACACAGTGTAACTGGTTGTATGTGAAGTCACACTAAATCTATTACATGTACAGTGTAACTGGTTGTATGTGTGGTTACACTAAATCTATTACATGTACAGTGTAACTGGTTGGAGGTGTAGTTACACTAAATCTATTACATGTACAGTGTAACTGGTTGTATTTGAAGTTACACTAAATCTATTACATGTACAGTGTTAGTTTGCTGTATGTGTAGTTACACTAAATCTATTATATGTACAGTCTAATTGGTTGTTTGTGTAGTTACACTAAATCTATTACATGTACAGTGTAACTGGTTGTATGTGAAGTCACACTAAATCTATTGCATACACAGTGTAACTGGTTGTATTTGAAGTTACACTAAATCTATAACATTTACAGTGGAACTGGTTGTATGTGTAGTTCCACTAAATCTATTACATGTACAGTTTAACTGGTTGTATGTGGAGTTACACTAAATCTATTACACGTACAGTGTAACTGGTTGTATGTGATGTCACTCAAAATCTATTACATACACAGTGTTACTGGTTGTATGTGAAGTTACACTAAATCTATAACATGTACAGTGTAACTGGTTGTATGTGTAGTTACACTAAATATAATACAGGTACAGTGTTAGTTTGCTGTATGTGTAGTTACACTAAATCTATTACATACACAGTGTAACTGGTTGTATGTGTAGTTCCACTAAATCTATTACATGTATAGTGTAACTGGTTGTATTTGAAGTTACACTAAATCTATTACATGTACAGTTTAATTGGTTGTATGTGAAGTTACACTAAATCTATTACATATACAGTGTAACTGGTTGTATGTGAAGTCACACTAAATCTATTACATGCACAGTGTAACTGGTTGTATGTGAAGTCACAGTAAATCTATTACATGTACAGTGTGACTGGCTGTATGTGAAGTCACAGTTAATCTATTACATGTACAGTGTAACTGGTTGTATGTGAAGTCACACTAAATCTATTACATGTACAGTGTAACTGATTGTATGTGAAGTCACACTAAATCTATTACATACACAGTGTAACTGGCGGCTTTATGTGTAGTGACATTTAATGTGTTGCATGTGTATTGTAAATAGTACGAATGTTGTTACATAAGTGTTCTACATATGTAACGTGAACTGGTATGTAAATTAATGTATGGCAGCTCACACACAAGACTTACCCGCCATTAAATGCGTATGTTCCCACATAAAAAGCAAAAACAAGACCACCAGCAGTCAAGTCGGTTGTTTTAAACGGATCGCGAAGATTCTCTGTGTCACCTTACAACATGAAAAAAGAACATAAACATGTATCTACATTTTCAAGTATCCAATTATGTAAACAAAATGAGGTAGTCATCTTATTTTCAGAGATGGTTAAGTTTTTCATCTGAATTTGAAGTTCATTCACACTAATATGTAGACAAAATGTTAAATGAATCATTTCTTGCTGCTGTTTATCTCATTGATTTTAAACTTCTTGGCTTGAGTGTCTGTAGCTTTGTTAACTTTTGTAATACCCAGAGAAACAATTATTTGGTAAGAGAGCCATGCGATTTTATCTAGAAAAGAGATAACCTATGACATTTCGAGATGTCTATGATACCGATAGAGAACGCGACCATAGATATAATCAAACCAGTGCTTTCGACTTAAATTACCGTTATCTCCCATAAAATGTTTAATTTTCATAAGAAAATAGTTTCTTCATTTCCTTACAACAAAACTATGTGTTTCTGTTTCAGTATATTTTTCAATTGAATTATCTTGTCATTATAATGATTGGAATGTATAATAATGTTGATCATTATATTCCATCTTTGCGTATTGCAGAGTTATCTTCTCTTGGGAGCAGGTATTGATTGTTACGTCACTTGTTTGTGAGAGTAACGTCATCAAATTTTGAGAAAACGTCGTAATTTTCTCACACAAACCAATGACGCAACAATCAATCCCTCCTCCCAAGAGAAGATAACTCTGCAATATGCAAAGACGGAATAGTGTATTTAACCAGTCATCCATTAGATTAACATCATCATTGCTTAGTTTAGTCATAGGTCGAGGCTTTCTGTGACAATGCTCTGGCCAGCTGTTACATCTAATGTACATTGTTTACACGGATCGTGTACAATGCCTCCCACCAGCCAGTAGGTAGACATTTTGGATTATTTCAACTGCTTTATAGATTTGTCTTGATGTATTTTAAATTCAAAAATGCTTAATATCTGACACTTATTTCCATATCACCCATACTCAATTAAAATAAAATGTTTTGGATATAAGTATACATTATACCTCTTCCTATGATGATAAGTCAAAATGACTTTTTAAAAATATTTTAACTACTATACATTTGAAATGATATAATCAAAAACAACAAAACGCTAAATATCTGATAATTAATCCTATATTTTTCAATTCAAATAAAATATTTTGGATATAAGTTTATATCATACCTCTTCCTATGGCGATAAGTCCAAATGTAGATATGAGAACCAAGGCCAGGACTTTTGTAATCGTGACTGCTGTCTGTATATAGGCGGTTATCCTTATGCTATAGCAGTTAAGGGCCAGATAGGAAACTGAAACAGAACCAAACGCAGCAGATATAGGGGCCATCAGCCCTACTGTTTATATGGGGCCATCAGCCCTACTGTTTATATGAGGCCATCAGCCCTACTGCTTATATGGGGCCATCAGCCCTACTGCTTATATGGGGTCATCAGCCCTACTGTTTATATAGGGGCCATCACCCCTACTGTTTATATAGGTGCAATCACCCCTACTGTTTATATAGGTGCAATCAGCCCTACTGTTTATGTAGGGGTAATGAGCCCTACTGTTTATATGGGGCCATCAGCCCTACTGTTTATATAGGGGCCATCACCCCTACTGTTTTTATAGGTGAAATCAGCCCTACTGTTTATGTAGGGGTAATCAGCCCTACTGTTTATGTAGGGGTAATCAGACCTACTGTTTATGAAGGGGCAATCGGCCCTACTGTTGATGTAGGGGCAATCAGCCCTACTGTTTATGTAGGGGTAATCAGCCCTACTGTTTATGAAGGGGCAATCGGCCCTACTGTTTATGTAGGGGCAATCAGCCCTACTGTTTATATAGGGGCCATCACCCCTACTGTTTATGTAGGGGTAATCAGCCCTGCTGTTTATGTAGGGGCAATCAGCCCTACTGTTTATGTAGGGGCAATCAGCCCTACTGTTTATGTAGGGGTAATCAGCCCTACTGTTTAACACCAGTATACTAACTCATGTCGAATGTTTTAATAACATCAGTACGCTAAAAGATATAATGCTCGCAGATAACTTAAATACCTGATATCTTAACTAACTGATATCTTAACTTCCTGATATCTTAACTAACTGATAACTTAAATACTTGATATCTTAACATCCTGATATCTTAACTAACTGATAACTTAAATACCTGATATCTTAACTTTCTGATATCTTAACTAACTGATAACTTAACTTCCTGATATCTTAACTAACTGATATCTTAACTAACTGATAACTTAAAAACCTGATATCTTAACTTCCTGATATCTTAACTAACTGATATCTTAACTAACTGATAACTTAAATACCTGATATCTTTACTTAAGCACACTAATCGATGTCGTGGTTGTTTATAACTTAACTGCGTAATATTAACTTCAGCACAATAAATGATATTGTGCTAGCTGATAACCTAACTGTGTGATATGTTAACTTCAGCAATAAAGTCGTTTTCGTTTTCGTGGTCGCTGATAACTAAACTGCTTAACAGCTTAATATAAGGAGAATAATTGATGTCGTGCCAGTTGATAATAATATTGCAAAACGGTTGATTAAATGGAATTGTCTAAAACCCCTAAGGAGTAATTTACTACCTACTTCGATTTGTACTTTATGTCAATTTTCAAGAATATTTCATGATAGGAAAGATCGTTGTCTAACGGATGTGAATTGTCTGCCTTATTTAATGTTGTGGTTCCAAGCTGTGAACGTCTCCAGGTCATACATGTGTATGAATATATGTGACTAGAGATTGTATTTATTACTTTTACATATGGATGAAAATATTGTCTAATTAATATGTATATATGTGTATACATTTATTTGTATTTTCAATAAATGATTGTCGACGTCTATAAGCTAGATGTAGATCTAAATATAATCCTTAAGGATGTCAACACAAAGTTCTAGAAGATGCAGGTTGAGGAAGACTTTGGACAAGGTTATGGTCGCCATGACGGTTTCGCCATTTCTTTGTGTGATATAAAGGTCGATAATTTGATTACTAGAGTGCCTTGTTGTTTTTTTGTCTTTACCCGAGTTCTCGATGTGAGGACGTAACATTAGTTGGATTAAACTAGATTAACACGGCGGAGGTCGTCGACGAAACAAAAGACGCTTACTCTTTTGGAACACCCGGTCTTACTTCCCTTGTACTTTTTCACGGGTCTCCTTGTAGATCTTCCTTTGTTCGTATGTTGCCCTAGTTTTATCAATTTCGAGTTCGAATTATGGCTATCTTAATTGCTTCGGTATTCTTTTATGGTCTTTTGTCTTACGGATATGTTGCTGAGTAATAATAGAATATTTATATATTTAGACAATCTGTCTACCATTGAAAATTTATAATTATAAGTAAGACATTATTTCGCTATTTTTTGCCAAAAGATTTAAGTTTGTTTGATAACGAAGGAAACTGGAATGTCATTTTTCCTACATTTTTGACAAACACAAGCTTGACAAAATTCTTGCTAACATTTTTAGTACCATTTAGTAAGGATTACAGCCATATAGTGACACTGTATGTACAAGAAGAATAATGTATTTGGAATTTGATTGTTATGACCTGAAGCCATCGTTTTATCATTCTTGAAATCTGTCCCACAAAAATGTTCTTCTTTCAGACCGATTTATTCGATCTTTACTAACAGCATGGCCAACAGAAATGAATGACTATTGTTCGATAAGTGGGACGATTTCAATTTTCAGATCTTGAACTTTTCCTTTCTTGAAAGTAGCAACCCCGCTCCTGAAACTACGGAGTCTACATGTCACAGTCGATTAGGTATTTAAGAGCTCGCTACTAACATCATGATATCTGTGATAGATTCAGACTGCTGACAAACAAAAACAGTGTTTTCCTGAGATGCAGGAAGATGAAGATTTTGCGAAAGTTTCATGGGGGCCATCTTAATCTTACTAGACAGGATACGTTTTGTTTTCTGAAGGTCGATACTTTTGTTTATTATAGGTTGATTAAGTCTCATAATTTCGAGTTTGAGTTACGAATTTTTTTTACATTTCAAAATGTTCTTGTTGTGTTTTCTGTAGGATTCCAAAAATACACATCCTATTTCTCAGGTCTAAGCTTAACCGTTTGGTGAGGTGTTCATTATTGTATCTTAAGGAAACCTAACACTCCATGCAATTACATATATACGCTTTTGGCCGCGTTAACTATTTATTGCATGCGATGAATTTAAACTGTGGATTGGGTAAAGTTATGGGCCCATCCATATTTGTAGTTTATTTAAATTTTTATTCAAGAGAAGTAAAAACTGAAAAATTACAAGCTGCTCGATATAGACATTTGAGAGAAAAATAACATTTGCTGTGCTTTCTAAATAAATGCCCCAGAAGGTATTGTACATCGTGTTATTGAAGAAGAGAATATTGAATTGTCAACAAAACCGTAGTTTGAATTAACATGTAGACCATTGGAAGACCAGGTGTTCCTGCAGAGAAAGCGTCTTTTTCTTCGACACTTGCCCTGTAAATCTATGTCAATTCCAAGAAATATCACTTTCTTACATCGAAACGACGATCTTTTATCGGAGGTTTTCTCAAAAGTAAAATAAATTTATAGGCATGAAATAAATTCAGGAAATACGGATCGGAGGATTATCAAAAAACAGTGCAGACAAATTTGAATTGGCTGGTTATTTATAAAAAAAACCAAAACTTTGTGTTGAAAACATTGACAAAATTACCCATAGCAGTAAGCCCGAAGAGTTTAATGGCCGCTGTTGGAGCCTCGTCGGGACAATCGAGGAACACAGGTCGAAGTATATACGTCCCGGCGGCTAGCGAGGACACAACGATGGACATTGGTCTCAGGATAAATTCGCTCAACCATAGGCTGACGAAAGACACGTTTTCGCCAAACGCTTCATGGATGATTGTGTACAGTCCCCCAGACTTCCGTACTCGGATGACTGAAGAAGAAATGAATTCGAGTTTACATACATTGTAGATATACCACTTAAGTGTTAATTTGCTAGCTACAGTTGATTCACTACCCCCAGAAACTGTAGTACAATGAATGATATTTGAATATATATGACCAGTTGACAGTTTTTTTTTTTTTTTTTATCTTAAAGGCTTCAGTTTTAAGGTCATAAACAGATGGGCTACTATAAAACATGAAAATCTACCGGGAATGAAGATTTGGTGCCACTGTCAGGAACAAGTAAACCTCCTGACTGGCAGCATCATGAAGGTGTCACCTTACTTCCGGAACCCCTTTCCCGATCACGTGACCAGGTGTTCTGTGGTTGTTAATGAGGTCTTTCCTAGGTATCTCCTTAGTCCATGTTGTTGTCTTTTAGATTCGTCTTTGAGTTGCGATGTTTTGCTGGTAATCCGACACAGTGGTATATTTTATTTTGTTAGCGTGCTTTTAAAACTTCGATTTATCGTGATACCAATTTGTTAAAAAACTTAATTGTTTATAAAAATATCTCTTGACAAAACATAGAAGAAATTTAGTCAACCTAAAAAGAATGTTTTTGATTTTTGTGAATTGTGTTATTATACTAACCTAGCTCTGCTATGCAGAGTGATCCCAGTACGGCCCACACCCCGCATGTAAGCCAAACACAAAGAGCCAATCCAGGAGAGGAACCAGCTCCAGCTAAAATCGGAGACGGACTTATAAATATTCCGGATCCAATGATAGATCCGGTCACATAGCTAATTCCATCAACCACCCCGAGTTGTTTCTTTAGTTTGATGGCCATGATGCGTACTGTCTGAGTCCTTTGTATCAACTGCAGGTAGGTCAATAAGGTAGAGCAAGTTATTCATTGACACTGTTATTATATACAATGAGAACGACGAAATAGGTGTATATACTCAAATTACGTCACAAGCATCTCGAAGCTTTGGGTACATTGTTAAAAGTACAATTAGAAAATAAGCAAGCACCGTTTGCTACAGGAACATCATTTAATATACTTTTTATTGAAATGGTTTCCATTTCGTATGAACTTTTAAAAGCATTTGGCATGCTATAAATAACATATCTGAATAGAATTCCATCTAATCCTAAACACTTGGCCCTTTTTGACGCTAAGTTGAAACAAAAACTTTTATACTGAAACCCGTGCTACTTTAAAGGACGCACACAACTAGATAATTTACTGTATGTTATTACTATAGCGTTAAACACTAGCGACAGCTGTCTAGATTCACAGATACATACCTGACAAAGGCTTCGAAAGGCTTTTTGGTGAGTTTAGTGGCATATAAGAGCGCTACAGCTGTCTGCTTTTGACAACCTGAAGTTTACAAGCCAAACCGGTGAAGTGGGACGGGTACACCCCCTGAAATTTGACCCCATATCAATCCGTCATCACATATGTTAAACTACTAAAACTAAACATTTTTCAAAAGTTCAATATCTGTAGATTTCATTCAATGTTAAATATGTCAACGATTCCCTATTTGAATTACTCAGGGGCACTGTATTAAACCGGAACACATTTTAGGTAGGGATTACAATCGTATGAAACACTTGCTGATTGGCTGATTTAGGTGTGCGAGTCCTTAAATTTACAACGAACGTGCTTCATATATATATATAGGATGGTGAAATTCATTCGGTTTCTGGCAGATATCATTTCCAAATTGGTTCAACCTTTTAGGCATTTTATGTATGCGCAATATCTTGATATGGCACGATCAGTAATGCCTAAAGCTATCGTGTTTATTCATCCTCCACGACAAGCATAAAGCCAGGCGGGCTGCTGACAAAACTAATGTTAAAATGTTCCGATAAATATAAAGAAATACAGCAAAACGGGGAGAGCTATGACGTACAAGGTTACAACCAACATCGGGGAGTACAAGTCCACTAGCAATGTCAACCACCTCGGTACGTTAATTAATAATTCAATATAAGAGGTAAAGATGCACTGTTTCCCCTCGACACAGAAAGCTTTATGAGCTGAACATATATATAATTGTTTAGCAGCACCAGCAGGAAAAGTAAGATGTAAGAACGAGACACGCAGATTGAAATGCAGTGCTCATATGTAACTCAACATACGTTCATCTGTTTAAACAGAAAAGTCCTCGACCTTGTAAAATTTATCATTCATAAAACGGCATGGGGCCAAGCATCAGGATAAGTATTAGCAACCTTACCACTGCATCAGCATACTATATAAATATTCATTTTACGAATATATTGTTTTGTTCTTTTAGATTCATGAATGAAAAGTAATCATATCTTTTTAAGCTATTTAAAAGGGGTGCCAGCGTATTGAAAACATGTTCTTGTCTATTTTATTGAGTTATACGCAATCACGGAAGGTCTGCAACGTGTTACAGCAACTCAACAGGTAATTATGGGTACTGATGCCTTTTCGATTATGATCACAGACATACAGTATATAAGTATGTAGACATACGACCACACACTGTGTACAACTCGGGGTTAAAATCATGACCCTGAATTCCTCATTATCAAAGTCGTGTCATTCGGGTGGGTCCTTCCTTGTCTTCTGCCAAGGGAAGATTGAAGAAACAAACACTGATCCGCTGCCCCCATTATAACATTTGGGATCTTTATATTGTCTCTTTACATCCTACTAACCTTGCTGTTTCCTTGTGCCTCTCTTCGCAATACCTTATTTTTGGCTTTAATGGTGAATATTCGCCAAAGTGGGGAAGGCAAAAAAATACCATTTGTTATTTCCTGTTTAACGATAAGCATTTAGTTTATGTGACCGAGTGGAACAATGGTATGGATGCTTTCGTCATAACAATTCAGTAATATAGTATCAGATCCACGCTATGGCACGGAGGCAAATACACAAACAAACCCTGCCCCCGGAAAACATTCACGCTTGCAGGCATATATTACACACTTGGAGGCTCTTCCGTGTACTTTAACGACCTCATGTGGTAATATGACGTTAAACCCGATGAAGCCAAACGAAGACTAAAGACATAGTTAATAAAAGAAGACGAGGTGACATAAAGAACAAACATATGAACTAGGGGAATATTCATTCGATACCTTCATTCATTCTTATTCTAAGAATTAGATGGAGACTAGACCATTTGACAAAATCCATCGCTGTTTGAGGAATAAGTTGGTAGATGTTGACCACAATATATCAATTTATGACATTGCCACTATATAACCCTAACACATATTTATAATCACACGTTTAATCTTATTGAAGATAAGAAATTGCTGTTTTCATTTTGTAACGTAGACTTTGATTGTCAGCCAATATAGTAATACTTTTGAAGAGCTTTCCATATGATACGTGGAACGTGTCTCGAAAACAAACGCCTAGAGCGTTCTATATTTAAGTGTTCTTTGGGGCTACCATAATTTGGAAACAGATTTATAAATAATTAAAATGTTGGTGATGACGCTTTCCTTTAATCTATGTGATTGCATCTGTAAATACCATCAATGCTAATGGCAAACATCATCAGCACTAATGGCTCCGTGTCCGGGACATTTTATAACGTAGTCCCTCTGCGATTATTAAACCCTGTTATTGATCACGTAATATATCAGGAAACCCCACAAAGTGGATTTCCACTTCTAGCATAAATCATCTAACGATTTTTTCCCATTTGTTTTAAATACATTTGGATTATCTACTTAACGCGTTTAATTGAAAAGTTAAGCTACAAAGTCTCTGATGTTACCGGTCATTAATCAGCATGTGGCTATATCCTTCTTTCGTATCGAAGCAGAATTGATTTCCACAGAAAATTACCTTTGCAAGTGAGTATACATGTATGTAACAGTCAAAATTATTTTTGCGACAATTCGACTTGTCTATTGTAATAAAGGACTTTCTAAATTACATTTTGATTAACTGCGATAGAATTATGCCTAAACAATGTAATATTTTCATGTTCAGTGCATACAAATTAAAAACTCTTTTGAATGTGCACACTTATATATATATATATATCAGTTTAGCTTAATTATAAGTCAATGTTATTGCTAATATGTTTTGCTCTCTAATTAAACAATCCCATAGTATTTTTACTCAAAACAATTACTTATGTAAATGTTGGCTCTCATTATTATCAGCACTCATTGCACAAGTTACTTGTGACTGTTTATTGAACGCGGTATTTCAACAGTATCCTGGAATCGATTCCATTTACCCTTTTAGGAGAGTAATTGGGCAGAAGAACGAAAATAGTTTCTCCATTTGCTTTTTGTAATATTGAACAATGGATTCAGTCGCTTATACACGTTTAATTGCTGTTTGCTAAAGAAGGCTTGCCTGCAAATAATGACAACGTCACTCTCATCATAATTGAAATAGCAGCTTTATGTTTGGTTCAATCCTGTTTTAGGCAGTTTTCCATATTTGAGAGATACCATGATCGGCTTTCAGAAGAGTATACAGCGAGATAACATTGCCGAGACATACCATGGTCAACTTTAGAAAGCGTATATTTCCAGGTTACGTCGATGCCATGATAGAAGATGATTCTATATACCAACAACACGAGGAAAGGCCTGATGATGAAGTATACGAGGTGAGTACACATAAATATCAAAATAGACTAGCCATCAGTCGCTTAAATTCTGTGAAAATAATTTCCAACGGCACTTTTCCCCTAATTTGAAACCAGGAGCTCAACATTTTTAAAGTCCCATGTTTAACATTGTAAATGCTATTATATTCCGGAAATCTATAAAGCAAGAGATTTTGCATCTGTTGTTCTATTTGTACAATAAATTAGACAATTCGGATTTATCATATTTTGGCCTCCAGCATCACTGATAGGCCCTAGAAGGACGAAACAACTGTATGCTGCAGTGTTGTTCATTTGTTGGGCATACTGTATGTATTACCAAATTTGAAAGGTACCGTCACTCGTGTGTGTGTGTCACGTTTTACTGTCAATGTATTAGAGGCGGGACCAGTTTAATACACATTGTGTTGACTACTTATAATGCTCTGTTCAGACAGTTCCATTGAGTATTATTCAACATCCATACTAACATCAGAATCAGATAACTTTACACCAGGCTACCTCACACAAATATTGTGACGTTAAACCTAAATGCAGTGCTTTTAAATTGCATGCTCTTCACATTCGTTGATAATGAAGGAATTATTATGTAAAGCATTCCATTAAGGTTTATATCCTTTTATAGAAAGTTCCTTAAGTACATTGGTTCCATAGAACAATTATCCATTTTCGTTTGACATGGGGAAATGAAACTTGCTGTTTTGACTACAAAATGATACCGTTCTACTTTGTCAACCCAATGATAAGATTAAATATTGTTTTTTCTTTATTATTTTGGTGTGTTTTGATTACATTACTAGGATGAATGCCTTAATAAACTTTGTTGATTATAACGGCAAATATTCGAAAACGCCGAAAGCCATAACATTTAACGTTTATCTTAGATATGTTATGTATACTGAAAAACTTCTTTATTCCCGAGAAGCCTAGAGTCAGTAAATCTCAAGAAAGTCAAATTTCCAAACCTATTTCCAATCTGCTTTAAAGTACTGACATCATCGCATGTTATGAAGATGGTCAAAGCACAGCTTTCTCTTTGGAATTTTAAGTTCAAGTTTCAAAATATGCCATAAATAGTACGGTTTAAAATCGTATGGACTTTATGAGACTTACAGTCTTCATATATTTGGCGTATGGCTTGCATGCACCCCAGATACTTAATATCGTGAATTAGAATTTCTTTGACACGAATTCAAAGATCGGAACTAAATATATAATGATAAAATGCAATCATTAGAGTTTAAAGCTTACAGATCTTGTGGAGTTGTAAAAAGTATGAAAAAAACTCATTTGGCTTGTAGTTAGGTTTGTAGCCATTAATTGCATTTGTGAATTTATTTCATTGATCTTGACCTGCTTTGATTGTCACACGGATAATGAGCTGTGAAAAAATGACAATGGTTAAAACCAGTATATTTCATTAACGAGTTAACATATGTAGTTGATGTTTTAGACATGTTATACTTCAATTGAGTGAAATCCCGACATCTGTTCTTGTTTTAATAAGTTCGTCGAATTGTTCCCTTATATCTTAATTGACATAGAACTCAGACAACTCTGTTGGTGGTTATAAAGATAATGATAAAGTATCCGCTTATCAGACCGGAAGTCAAAAGATTACTTCATTTGGCAGACCGCCTGATCAAACAATCTGCCATCTATAGCATAGTTTGCATTGGTCATATCTTGCATTTAGGACTCATCAGGATGTACATGTAATTGCGTGCATAAAAGGTATATTATTTAGT